TTTCTCACAGTTCTGGAGGCTGGAATTGCAAGCTCAAGGTGCCAGCAGATTCAGTTCCTGGTGAGGGCTTCTTCCTGGCTTACAGATGGCTGTCCTCTCCTTGTGTCCTTACTTGGAAGGGAGGGGGAGAGGGAGGAAGATGGGGAGGGAAAGTACTGGTTTTTCTTCCTTTTTTTCTGGTAAGGACACTAATCCCATTGTGAGGGCCACACTCTCATGACATCAGTTACATCTAAGTACTTCCCAAAGGCCCCACCTTCAGAGACCTCACATTGAGGGTTAGGATTTCAACATATGAATTTTGGGGGGACACAAACATTCACTGTAATAACTATAAACCTCAATCAAAATAAATACAAAGAAAATCAAACGTACATCACAGAAAAACCTTTTGTGACAGTTTTATAACATAGCCATAAATTCTTTGACATTTCTGTCACCAAGAGGTGGAAGATCTATGTCCCTTCCCCTCAGCTCTGGATGGGCTTCTGACTGTTTCAGTGAGTACAGTAGAAAAGAACTGATGCTATCTGACTTAAGAGACTAGATCATAAAAGGTGAAGATACCACCTTGTTTGCTGGGAACACTTGCTCTTAAGAGCCCTGAGCCGCCATATATGACATTTAACTACTTTGAGGTTATGCTGTGAGGAAGCCCAAAACACATGGAGAGGCCAACTATAGGCACTTCCTGTAATAGTCCCAGTTGAGCTCAGCCTTTGGGTCATCTCAGCCCAGGTTCTAGATACGTGAGAGAAAAATCCTCCAGATGATTGTAGCCCCCAGTCGTTTGAATCTTCCCCATGAAAGCTTTGGATATCCTGAAGCAGAGAAGTGTTGTCCTTGACAAGCCCTGTCCAAATTGTGGATTTGTGAGCAAAATAAATCATTTCATATGACTGTGTTTTGGGATGTCTTTCAGTTATCTATTGCTGTATGAAAAAAAAACCCCAAAACATGGTGGCTTAAAACAACCATTTATTTTTCTCAAAGGTCTGCAAATTGGACAGGACTCAGCAGAAATGGGTCACCTCTGTTCCAAATGGCATTGGCTGGGGCAGTTCAACTGAGGGATCTACTTTCAAGATGATCACTCACATGGCAGGGAGGTTGGTACTGCCTGTCAGCTGGGAACTCAGGCAGGGCTGTGTGTTGGGGATAGGAGTCTCAATTTCTCTCGTTTTCACTGGCTACTGGACTGGGTTCCAAGAGTGGGCATCCCAAGAGAACAAGGCAGAATTGCATGGCATTCGTTTGACCTAGTCTTGGAAGCTACATAGCATCATTCCTGCCATACTCTGTTAGCCAAGACAGTCACAAAGACCCACCAATGTTCAAGGAGGACATAGATTCCACCTCTTGAAAGGAGAGTGGCAAGGTTCTAGAAGAACATGTGGAATGGGAAATATTGTAACTATCTTTGGAAAATCTGCCTTCTGGTTCATATTTTTCC